CAGGCTAGAAATCTAATGAGTTCAAACTTAAAATTAATCAAACCCAGATGGCATGAATGCACTATAATTACATGTGGCAGTCGCTAAATCTGTTTCTAAACAGAATACTTAGAACTTAATATTGTGCGAAAAATATCCCCATTTTGTCTTGGCTCTTTTCAATTTTGTATATGTGGTTCATTATGATTATTCTGCTTCACCGCGTGAAGACATTCTTTGCTCTGATGCGAGCCTAAGCAGTTTGGGAAATTAACTGATTGCGCTGTACTATAGTCCCATTCCTTTCGTCCCAATGCAAGTATTGAGGTTAGTCTTACTGGAAACCACAACTATGGACTCATTTTCACTCTGTTTCAATACAAACTACAAATGTATATATTTAGCCGCAACCGCGGTTGAACTGATAAACACACTGACTAAATAGAAAGGATTTTGTTGCCAACCTAACGCGACACCCAAAGCATTCACTGTTGGTTGAGCTGACTTCAAAATCAAGTGTTTGAAAATTGATTACACCGTGACAAAAGCAGATTTTGAACGCCTTTAACAAATCGGTAGAACTTGGCTCCATTTCTCTGGAGAACGATAACAGGGTTAGAGCTTATTAATTGATTTCGTGAAACGCCGGGGATCTTCGTCAATATACGAAACAGGCATTTCTTCGGTGGTACGGGAACCTTAAATCAGTGAAAACACCATAGCAAATACCTCAGCGAAGCCTCCGGTGCTGTAACGTTAAGAAGAGCATATTGTCTTTAAACTCAACGGTCAGATGATGTGCCTTTGATGAACGGACAAGTTGTTCTTGAATAACATTACCCCTTTATCGCAAAGATGACTCCCAGGATGAATTCTATAGGCCATTCCTGTTAGTTTATGGGCTCCGATAAAATCATTCACCCCACATGCACATAAATACAATTGTAGTTACAAAATGTTCATTTTTTGACCACTTCATCACCTAAACTTACTCAAACAGATATTCAAAAAACATCATTCAAAAGTGTCAATGAAATTCGTTCCTCCCCACACACACACACCTAGTAAACACCTCTATCTCCCAGATATTTGTGCGTTTAACTTGTACTCATTCATTTTTTCACCAAGTTCAGTGAGTCTACCCGATCTCATTCCAAGAAACACTGATTTACTATGCGCCAAAAAAAGCACACTTCACCTCCTACAAATTATTTTAGGCATATTTTCAATCGGTTTGTCATCCTGTCATTGAAACCAGTTTATTCTGAAAAGCTAAGAAGCCCCATACACCTGTTCTATCCTTATTAGTGATTATCAGTGGCGCGCTTCGTGCAATGAGCCACATCTAATGTCTCGTGCAGGAGAAACGTTTTTTTACCAGGATTTTGTTCGATATAGTCAGACTGATTGAAGTTCGAGGTAGACTTATTGAACAGACTGAAGTACTTTGGACTATTTTCAACTGGCCGAAATCCAAACCATTGATCACTAGGCATTTGACCGTGGAAGGTCAGGGTTGAACTTCGTTTTCGATCCAAGGTCATCGCACGAGGTATTGTGTGGACTCCCTAGAAGCCGTGTTAACTGACCGCCTCCAGCCTGTACTCTGCGATCACATATTTGACGGCTAAGCTGAGACTCTCACGTTACGTTTTTTTTTGTTTTGTTCCACGGAGGCAAATGATACCTTACAAAATGTGTTCACCCCGTCATAGTGTTTTTCAAGCTAACGTGTCAGCACTTTACAGCCATACCTGTACATGGTAGACCACCTGAAGATAGTGACTCTTCTAAAAGTAGTTATCTTGAGAAGTCGAGACCTGGTGAAAAACATTGCCCGAATAACAGTTTGTTTTATCCACTCAGTCCTTGATAGAGCGTGAAAGATTATCCTCTTTTTCTCTCGCTTTTCCAACCTAATCGGTATGAGAACGTACGCAGATGAACAAACACACTTCTCTAGTAGTGAAATTTCTCCCAGTCCGGGGTGTTTGCTAACGCAGGGAATTTACTTCTTGCAGGACTATTTAGCTAACCCTGACATTTCACTCATCCCATTATTGAGACAATATTACCTTTCGTCATCTTGGTTATAAAACTTAAGAAGCTACTGTCTTCTTGCTTTCAATGAATTAATTTTCTTCCAAGGTCAACATGGTCCATATTCAAGATGTTATATATTCCCATTTAGTAAGTTTAAATCTCATGATCAAGACTTTACTAGGTTATAACACTGTGTAGTTAGTACAGGTACCTCAGTGACCTCGAAACAAGCTGAAGTCTCCTGATGACTCAAAATTAGCCAGGTCTCGCTAGCACAACTAACATCAAAAGTTTGCTCCCAATTTAGTTTAAGAACTTCCCGTCTGTTGATGACCGTCAGTCTTATGAGATCGCCTGTCGATATTTTGAGCAGACAACAATTTCACGGCTAGCATTCGCATGCCATGCGTGTTGTACTGTTACTCGACACCGATGGCCTGGGAGGAACACGGAACCGGTAGCCATGGCAAAACACTACTCCTCTGCATTTGGTGTGGCACCTTCTGTTTGATATGTGATTGGAAACGACACCCATCAAATCGGAACATCGGCTGAACCATCCTGCGTAAATAGTTTGCTGCGTACTAGTAAAATATTCTTGGGTTATCAACTGATTCATCGTGAGAGGCGAAATTGGTTACTTCTCAGGTACTTTGGTTTACTGTTCCGAGTTTTCTCTTGAAGTATAAATTGTCCAGCACTGTGACCAAGTGATCCAAGGAAACTTTATTTGCCACATTGGAAACAGTGCTGTCTATATTGAGTAAAAATCTGTTTAAACTCAGATTCGGTCTTAGCCAGTTTGCATCCACTTAAAAACAAAGAAACGATCCACTCATGCATGAAGAAACGTGTCAGCTGTGGGGATAATCCCAATCAGCAAATTAGATTTTAATGTGAACTGAGGGGAAGTGGCTGGGTGGGTGATTGGCTAATCGGATAGAAGGAAGTTGGGATGTACAATACATAAGACGGATTATCTCAGATTAATCACGACAGGATTAATAAACCTGACTGTATGCCTCTCTGTCCAGTGAACTAATACAACGGAACACATGAATCGATGGAATCGAGTAGGTAGACTTCGGAAATGATTGGCTTGGAAAAGCGTGTTATAGTGTGCCTAAAACACAACTCCCTGTTTTTGTTGATAAAGATCAAGTTGGAACATTTCAATGCAAATAACATGAAAAACGTCCACATGGTGTGGGAACTTTGAGTGTAGTTGTCAATAAAACTTGCACTGACATCAACCTTTAGACGTACGTGCGGACAAACCTGAATATATTTTTGCAGTGATGTGATATTCAGTAAAGCTTCAGGATAGTTTTAATTAGAAAAAAAAGAATAAACGTCTTTCTTTTGAACTCGGTGCTACTTTCGTTTATCTGGCCCATCATTTACGCTCTCACGTATCATTTTGCATAGCTCATCCAAAACTACACCTACCGTTGAATTCCTGAAATTAGCCAGCCAATATAAAGCTGTGTTGTTTGGCTAATATTGGGATGTACTTGCCTGATGAAAAGATCTTAAAATCACTCGTTTGTGTTGGATAAGGGGGTGCATGGGGGAGGTTGTTTTCTTGCTTTATCTGTAGAGGTACGTAACACAGATGAAAAATTCTCAGCGAAAGAAAAGAATAGAAGTAACACAGTAGAATGGTAACCATCAATATGTGATTCTGAGAAGTGTACCAACGCGTGGAATTTACATTGTGGATGCATCCATTGACAATGCCGACTGCGTAGTTAAGCTACTCACTACTGTCATCAATCTTTGAAAATTTTTTGCCACTATCGATCAGCTGGGTTGTACTTCCAGAAGTTCATAAATAAACGGTGAAAAATACTTGAATGCAGCTCTTGTTTACCTGACCATCTTCGAACCAGATTGCATAGTTCCGAGGGGATTTCGAATAACCTTCACAAAATAGCCGCCCGATAAGTTTGTCCATGACAGATTACATAATTTAAGCAACCTAACTACTTGCAGCCAGCAGGTCCGCACATAGCCACCCAGAATAATTAAACCAGTCATCGAAGTTCCTGGTATGCGTTGGACCAATGAACATCACTTAAAATTATCCCATATTTATGTTAAATCGGTCCTCTTTCGTCTATGGAGCTAACTAGTGCAAAATCTGTCTCCTAATGGTCTTTGTACTGCCAGAAAAACTATAATTTGTAGGCGAGTGCCAATCATGTTTTATCTTGTTGGACTGTATCATAGAACACTATGATTATTATTCATTTTTCTGACACAGCTCAATTGCAGAATTTTCATCTTGTTCACCACTGAAATCAAAATCAGTTAGCCTAGTGCAAATTGCTTTATAATGTACATTCTACTGGCAAGCTTCCAGACCAAAGAGAGAGCTGAGTATTTCGAAACTAAGGTATTTTTGTCCGCATTTCTTTCTGTTTGTACATTTGGATCATTTGCCATGGCACGTCATTTCTTGTCCAAAACACCAGCTCCTTTGGCCTTGTGAAACAGGTGATATGGTTGCTACTATGGCTGGTGGGACTGAGGGTAGATGTTGACGAATACGAGGGTGATGCTGATGATGTTGACGATGAAGTGAATGCAATGATTATAAAGCTAACAGCAATAGATAATATGACGCAGTTGATGATTATTGTGATAATAATGAAGACCTTGAAGAGATTGACGAGGTCAATTTTGAGTTCTTGATCTGGTGCATAACTTGTACTCAGTCTTACCATCCAAGAATCCGTAGAATTAACTTGATAATTAATGGCGCACCCATGTTCCCGTGGTTAAAACAAGTTTAAAGTGAGCTGATTTCCATGGCCTTTGTGTGAAGACAAAAAACATCTTACCTCATTTTTTGATTATCAAAGCATCGACTCAGTCCGATTTTCGTGGAGTATTTTTGAGTTTTTGAAAGAAATACTCCCAGAGGTATTTTACGAACATTCCATTTTATGTTTTCTTTTTAACCCTGCTTATAGTGCGCTTAAAAATGCGGGTTTGCTCAAATCAAGTGAACCCGGTTACGGGCAAATGGCTGCAGATGCATCGGGAACAACCTACGACGCAGATGGTCAAGCTGTGATCAAAGAGCAACACACCTATGAAGACGATACGTGTCGAGGTCGTTGCATGTACTATGCTTGTTGTCGTTGCTCCAAGCGGTACTACACGGCTTGTCTGTCGAGCTTAGGATTTTTGATCACTTTTGGCATACGATGCAATATGAGCTGGGCCATGCTGAGTATGATCGCCCGACACAATCAGACACTGCACGAGCAGGCAATGAGTCGCGCTCATCATCTTCAGCTGCGGCATGGTGCGGATGGTGTGGACCATGTTGTGGATCTAGTGGGAATTATAAATGTCACGACGGTGAGTCATTTCCCGTCACAACCTCAATTCGGTGCTTACTTGCAATTGTCATTTTTTGCAGCTATACCGCCAGCATCCAATATGAATTTCCTTCGAATGAAATACTCAACCCAATGTATGCTTATGCTTGGCTACAATGTCATAGTTTGCATGAAGCCACACAGATTTCAGCCCATTAAACCGGTGTAAACCCGAAAGTCAGAAAAATACACAAAGAAATACACTAGGGCTTGCAGACAATGCAATTGTGCGTTGTATGCATATGTGTACCACTGAGCACGAGGTTCTTACATAGAACGCTCACTTTAGCGCTACTCAGATGACACCAAAGACCAGATCGCTGTAGGTGTGGTTAGAATTTTACCGCTTCCGCTGTACCTCTTGAGCGAACTTGCAGAAGACGATTTTTTCAAGACTAAGTCATGCTTCACAGCGTGTCAAGGATCATGCTCAAGATAGTCTGCCACTGTCAACGCACTTTGCCATATCAGTTGGTGAGACATTCTGAAGCCCATCGTATTCCGCATTCTCTCTAGGAACTGAGGCCATTTTTTCACTGGACCTTGACAACACGAGCCCTATAATTCCCTAAAATCTTGCCCTCATTAGGACCCACTTGTCTCACATTGTAAATGTGTGAGACGGATAAAAAAACAGGCAGGAGAACGGTACCTCGTCGAACGACGTGAATTTAAAAGTCGTTGTTGACGTACCAGGGTCTACCGATTTCCAAAGAGAAGTGAACAGCAGTATGCCATGCTGGACTGCACATTGACGTGATACGTGTGGACTTCGGCGTGGCCTCTGACAAAGTTCATAATCGATGGCATCTTTGAAGGTTATGTGCAAACGGAATTTAAGGAAATTCCGACCTTGATTCTGTGAATTCGCCTTAGGCTTCCGGTATTGACGGTGTTGATCTCATGTAGAGCTTAGTTTATAAGGCGCTGGGGTTCGTAAGTACGTCTTTTATCAAGTCTTGTGAGATCATTTTCCTGAAGGAATAATCAAACCGAGGATTAATCGCAGCTGCTCCTAACTCATTTTTGTCGCCAGATAGCTTCAGGATTCTATTTGCTTCCTATGCGAATTAAGCCCTGAACTGTTGCATTATCTGCTACTGAAGGAGAGAATGACCTTCTGAAAGAGATGCAGAGATGCGAAATTAATTAGACCCTTGGTCTTTGGGACTTTCCATAGAGCACTCAATGTCCAGGTTACTAAGGTAGCCGCAGAAACCTTATGTACACTAGTCTTATCTAGAAAGAACTTAGGGACTTTCTTATTATAAAAGTCGGAGGTCCAACAGTCACATATAATTTCATAATTTTCAAACCAATAAGCTTCCACTGCCAAATGAAGTCAAATAACCAGTGGAAAACGCACCCTCCTTATGTTGCTCATATCAGTTCAGAGGAGTGACTCGAGCAAAATCCGAATGCATCTCTGAAGCTCAACGCGGGAAGACGGGTGCTATGCTTGTATTCAGGTCAGACTGTCGTATGAATTGGCTTCTCCACAAGGCTTCAGCCTCATCATTGTTGTTTTGTTAAGTGAAGGAACCGATATGGTTTTCCTACTGTGCTCCTTACGGGGAGTGAATGAATGGCTGAATAAACGGGTAAGTGGAAAAATGAATAAACGTATAAATATATAACTGAGTCAATGAATGGGAGGTTAACGTTAATGGGTTTCGTAAATAGTATCTGCAATTTTTGTGCCCGCTGCTCTTAATTTCACTTCTGAACTGAACAAAACTTGCTAACTTGAAGCTTCTTTATGGTTGCCAGGACACTCACCCATTATCACTGCTACGAAGAAATCTCAGGGCTTCTATCAAATTCAATGTTTTGCATTTACGTGGATCCAAAAGCCAATCAGGGGTGGTCAGAACTGTCGTGTGTTTGGATCTAATGGATCCTCGGAAACCCTCGTCATCCTCTTCCAGATGATGACACCACATTTTTTTCATCGATTCTGAAATTATGGTGGTGTAGATCGCACTTGAGGATTGGCTTCTTTAGTCTCAACCTACCACTGATGTTCAAAAACCTCAAAACTTGTTTTGTCATCAGGTAGACGATTAAAAGCACTGAGAAATTTGGGTCAATCGGTCGAAACGCGAACTTCATTAGAATAGATGTGGTGCGCTCGAACACACATTGGACATTTCAAATATGTTGCCCGAACTACAACATACCTTCTCGTATAGATGACGTATACACATTATGGTATCTCTTGGAAGTACAGTGGCTTTATTGCTAGTAAAGTAACGTCTTCATTAATTACTCTAATTTGCCGTTTTGACCACTGTCACGACAGGTTCAGCTTCATTTCAATCATAGTTTCACAAGACAGGGAACCACTTCTGACTAAACTGCACGGCGGGCTGTAAACCAGAGATCGCAGGCTTAGTTCAAGTCAGGAGACATTGTAGTTATCTTTTGCGTTGCCTATACATGGGTTCAACTAGTCGAATAAAATATAAGCAGAATTTAAATCAATCAAACTAGGAATATGTTCACGTCCACAACCGTAAGCTTTCGCTTACTTGCCCTTTGGTATTGCAGAAAAGATTTTACCCTGCTGGATTTCATCCCACTGATATAGCTTCCGTGCACTATTTCTCAAGGTTTTACTCTCCCCTGTGGATCAAACACATTGCAGTTGGTCATAGCAACAGTGTTACTTCAGGATTCCTATAACAACACATCTTCTCCCATTCAGAAACCGGACTTCTACTGGACTGCCAAAGAAAGAGGACTTGTCGATGGATCTTTCTTCTTTGGCTACCTGGTCACGCAGATTCCTGGAGGCGTGATAGCGTCAAAGTTTGCTGCCAACAAAGTTTTTGGCGTTGCAGTCGGTGGAAGTGCGTTAATCAACTTATTCATACCATGGTCTTGTAAGGCTCACTACATCCTGGTTATGATACTACGGACAATGCAAGGCCTGGTTGAAGTACGTTTTTCTTGTACAACTTATTCAGAGTCCATTAATTTAAACAAGCCTAAGAATTTGCTCACGCCTTTCACGTTTGAGATGACAGATAAACATTTCAAGTTGAGAGCTATCAGTCTAGGTGAAAGAGCCTATCAAGTTGATAGCAGTCAGTCAACATGAATAGCACTCTTTAAAGCAGAAAAATTGCCTTGTATGTGATTACAGTGAAGTGTTTTTGCATGTATCCGCTTGCAAACATCACACGGACGGTTTATTCATAAAGCACGTACCGTAAATCTAACCTCTGAGAAGTTGAGAAAATTCAGCCTGATAGTCGAGTTCTTGTATATCGGAACTAGAGGAAATGGGGCCAAAATTAAACTGAATTGGTGTGTCGGCTCTGCCTGAGCGCTGTGCCAAATCAGTTTTGCTATACTTGATGAAATGGAGTTTGGCCACTACTTTTCTCGGGATATCTCGAAAAACGTCCAACACAGAGAACCAGATAGCATGCCTAGCTTCGAATTTGTTTTTTGTGTTGAGAAAAACAAATTGGGTTAAAAGGAACTGATCCCCGATAGGTGGCTTTCAGTTAGACACCAAGTAGTTGCACCGGGGAGAATAGCTTTGTGCCCGTAAAACGGAACGATGTTTAGGCTGCGAAACAGGTAGATGGATGCACGAGCAGATACAGATGAAAGGTTTGACACAGTTCAGTGATGTTCGAGGACGAAAATGCTCAAATAGGATAGAAAGTAGTACGACGACATCAGACGAAATTTTGTCGTAATACACATTCTTTGACATTATGCTTGCGCGCTGTCAACTGTATCGTCTATCAACACAGATCTCGTCCCACGAGTGAAGCAAGTTTCCTGGCAAATTTCAACCAGGTGGAAACCAACTGAATTGTATACCCATTACCCCTGTGTGAGGTCGGTGTCCTGCTGTTAAGGTTGAGTATGTACTCTGAACCTGACAAGTACAGGATCGGACATTACTTATTTGCATTAAGTCCTATTTAAAACAAAGCACTTCAAAAACCGCCTATTTCTATTCAGGAAATACCCGTCTTAGGGTTTCTTCCGAAAATTTGTTCTGTTCTGCCTATCTCATACCTTGTTTATTCAACCTGACGTTTTAAACAGCCAGACTGTCTGCTCTCTACTGCCTTAAGGAAATTAGCCTTGGCTAAAAGGGAAGACAGAGCTTTTTGTGTGCATAAAAAACAACGTGATCAACTGAAGGACTCTTGAGAAAGGAAACCAAATGTTTCAGTTGAGTCCTTGTATTTGGTAAATGATGCAGTGCACACATATCGCCACAATACAGAGCAAATATGAAGGTCTGTAATAATGCAAAAACCCTCACACAATGTTATGGAATTCTTCTTTGGAGAAATGTTAAAAGTTATGTTGTTGTCTGGCGTGTGAACAAAGGACTGTGTATGTAAATGTTACTCCCCGTTTGCTCAGGCCGAGGAAGGGAGTAAAAACTGATAGCATCTAAAATGATGTGTTTTTATGACTAGTGTGTATTGTTAGTTGTGAATGTCATGGTTGTACGTGGGCTGGGATACTGCCAGGGCGCCCACACCTAGACAGGAGGACGATTAGGGTCCTCAACCAAAGCCTTTGGCTCAAAAGCCTAACCGCAAGGCAGCGGTGTTTGGCGGGA